ATCAACGACGGAGACAGACTTTTCTTGTGTGTTGTCGAACCATTCTTCGAAGAATTCGAGGTTGGGGCGGGTTGGTCCTATGTGGCGCCATTGTTTGGAGAGCACACAAGTTCTCACAGCTTCTATCGTCGGCCATGGCTGCAGAGGTATTCTCTTCTTCTTCTATTTTTTTTTTTTTTTTTNNTTTTTTTTTTTTTTTTCAAGAATTTATTAAAACATGAGTTACACAGTCAATCAGTCTTCTATTATGACTATGAATCTCTTAGAAACGTGTAAAAAAAACACTTCAGTCTCAAAGTTTGTTAAATCTAACCAGATTTTTGCTACACAAATATGTTTACTCGTTATCAAAATTTTTATTTGGAATTTATTTACTGTTAAACATATTCTTAACCACATCTCACCAAATCAAAATTTTTAATTGCAATTTATTTATTGTTATCAAATTTTTAGCCACATCTCAACCAATATTATATTTATCAATTTTTATTTTTTTTTTAATTGCAATTTGTTTATTATTGACAAATTTGTAACCACATTTCATCCAATATTATGATCTCATATGTTTAATAGCTTTTACAACCATCTAGAACTATTTCTAATCAGCTGAAAAAATTGTTCAGTGTTATAAATATATTAATATGGACATTACTAATATACATAATTGGGCCTGAAGTCCATTAGTTAGTAGGATTAGGTTTTAGGGTTTCTCCCTTTGTAAACTCTATAAAAGAGTGAATACCGATGAATAATATAGAGACTTTTCTGCTTCTCTTTTATCGTTCTTTTACTGCACTTCTTTTATGCTTGGATTGATGATGCTTGTTGAAGATTAAGAGTTCCAATTTACAACAAGTTATCAGCACGCTCTAGTTCGTTGTTGGTGTTGCCCTAGGAAAAAATCGTGTTTTTCCTGCAAGACTCTCGTGTTTGCACAGAGAAAAAGAAACTTTCAGCCCGCTAAATCTCTCTCTCTCACCCACCATCGTCAACACCAAACACCATCACCATAATCGCTGCACCACCCCGACTCGAGCAGCAACCCGTCGGCCCGTTTCCGGCGATTCCCAAACGCAGCAGCAACATCGCTACCGAGCCCTCCTTTGACGATCATTCCCACGCGCGAGCAAGTCAGGTCTTGAGCTTCTCATCAACCCGATTTTAACACTTTTTCCCGTGAACGGTAAACCAATCGTTTTTCCTCTTTTGGACTGTTAACTTGAGTTCGATTAATGAAGAATACGTTTTGAATGCGGCTTAAAGGATTCAAGAAGTGTTTAAAAACTGAAAGTTTGAATCTCTTATGCTTGCTTAGGGTGAAGGATAAACCATGAATTGGTATCTAGTTCATATGCTTTTAAGTTTTATTGAAAAAGAGAAGGAATTTCGAGTTGTGTACGTGTTATTGATCCGTGCTTGTGCGTACCTTATGTGAATAAGATGCTGGAATTAATAGTAAATTTTTCATGATCAGAGATGTGGAAATTGGCATTAGTCGTGTGGTCTAAGTTGCTTTTGATATGCTATGAAGTTCGGAAAAATATTGTCATGATCACATGTGGTATTTGCTGTTTTTCTGCTGTCTGTTTACGGGCTGTTTAGACCCCTGAGGTCTCGTTTTCTGCTTCTGAGTTCAACATGTGAATTGTAGATGAGATTGTTAGCTTTCTATGGGCACCAGAATCACTTGAATAGCTATTTTGTGGAAAAAGTTATGACCGTTTAAAAATCATAGGGCAAGCAGTTTTGTGTAATTTTGACAGCACGTATATATTAATGTTCAATCAGTTTTCTGTATTGTTTTGTGCAAATCCGAACTTGGAATCTTTATTAAAATTGTAGCTACTTGAGTTAAGTTTTAGAGGGTTTTGGAATCTTTAAAAAAGGAGTTAAAATGAATTTTATATGATTTTTAGAAGTCGATCGTGCATGCTGTTTTTCTGAAACTCTGACTGTTTTCAAGCGTGTAATGTATGATGTGTTTAAAGGTGTCAAACGTGTTTATGTGAGAATATGATCAACATGAAAGTTGTAGCTCTATCTGTTATCTTTCATTTGGTGCTGGAATAATGAGAAAATATTATATGAGTAGTGAGTGGTACTCGTTTTGGTGAAAGCGCGCATGAGTTAATTTTATTTTGCTGGCAGCACCTATATTCCGAATGTTATCTGGTTTTTGACCAATTATTTGACCTTATTTGCCTTTGAGTGCTAAATGAAAGTTGTAGTACCATGTCTTAGGAGCAATATGAGACTTGAATCATATTAATGCCATTTGTATGTTTTCAGACGTTATGTTTTGATTGGGACTTCGTGATTGCTTTGTTTTGCTTACATTGTTTTACTTTTCTTTTAGTGTACCACAACCATTCATTCGTTTGCATTATA